CAAAGGAGGAGGCTGCAATGCTTGGTAAGAAATGTATGCATTATCCTGCCCATGTAATTGTAACCCCTCTGTACAGTATGTTCACAAATAAAATTAAATTAAATTAAAAAAAAAAAAGAAATCCAATTTGGACCTTGAAGTTCTGAATTTTCTCATCTGTAGACAAAAAATAGTATCTACTTAGTAGGTTGTTGGGTGCCAGTGGCTCATTCCTGTCATCCTAGCTATTCAGGAGGCTGAGATCTGTGGAGTGCTGTTCAAAGCCAGCTTAGGCAGGATAGTCCATGAGACTCTTATCTCCAATTAACCACTAGAAAATCAGAAGTGGCACTGTGGCTCAAGTGGTAGCATGCTCGCCTTGAGCTGAAGAGCTCAAGGACAGTGCCCACGCCCAGAGTTCAAGCCCCATGACTAACAACAAAAAAAAGAGAGAACAAATATTAAATGAGATAAAGTCCACATGCATATATCAGAGTTGGCCAAGGTCAGTGGAACTTGTCATTTTTAGGAGAAGTATGTTTAGGAAAGGTCTCCCTTAATCAGTTCTAGGGCTTCACTGATGTACACATTGCCCAAAGGGATTTAGGACTGCTGAGTAGGAATCACAGAACACTTGGCTGGATCCTCTGCTGTAGAGCCTAGATAAGTGGCAAGTTACAGCAGAAGTCCCTGACTTGCAGATGAAGAGGAGGAGGCCTGGAGATATGGCATGACTTGCCTGGAGAGGTGGACGGGGGTAGCCACCTACTGCAGCACCTTACCTCAGAGACCCAGGGAGCCTGACCTGCGGCTTCCCCCTGCCTTTGTCTTGGAAGAAACTCTCCAGGTCTTCATTATCTTCAGAGCTGATCTCATCACTTTCTGAGTCAGACTGAAAGAAAGTCTCCAACAGACCCAATCTTCCCTTCTGCTTTAGAGTCTGTAGAGTCTCATAAAAGCTCCCAATGGAGTCTGAAGTAGAATCCGTCTCCTCCTCTGGGCTGAGGAAATCATGCAGCTTGCCAGCCCTGGGCAAAACCAGCTCATCTTCTGGTTCAGTGTCTGAGGAAGATTTGGGAGGAAACATCTAAGATGGAATAGAAATAAACTGTGGGTTAGTCAATAATCTCAAAGATCTTCAAAAACTACCTTCATTTCATGTTGAATAAGCATCAGTATATTAAGGATTAGGAAGGAGCAAAGGGAAAATAAGATGTGTTTCTTTGTTCTGAAGCCATTTCACAACTTGCAATTTTATGGCTGTGCTTGGCTGAAGGATCAGGAGAATTTCATAAACAGCTAAAGCTGGTTCCTTATTCCATTCAATGCAGAAATCACTGCTAGAGGAAGCAGCTCATTTGCACCATGCATGCTACCCTGGGTGTCCAGGAATCCTCCCCATGACCTTAGCCACACTGTACTCTTTCCTCTCTCCTCCCTTTCTCCCCACCTTCCTCTCTCTGCCCTCCCTCCCCTTCCCCCCTCTCCTCTTTTGGTGCCAGTTCTCGGGCTTGAACTCAGGGCCTGGGTGCTGTCCTGAGCTTTTTTTTTTTTTTGCCTAATGCTAGTGCTCTACCATTTGAGCCACAGCTCTACTTCCAGCTTTTTGGTGATTAATTGGAGATGAGAATCTCACAGACTATCCTTCCCCAGGCTGGTTTTAAATTTGGATTCTCATCTCTCAGTCTTTTGAGATCTGAGGGTGACAGGCATGAGCCACCAGCGCCAGGCTCTTTTTCCTTCTCTTGTTTGTCTATGGGGAATAAACTTTGGTTAATATACCTAATTAATAATTAGGTTAATTTGTTGCAGTACATCATGGAAAATCATTGGGAACTTGTGGGAGGAGATAGATTTTGTAGCTTGTCCTGCTTGGTTCTGAGAAGGGTTTGAGAGAGAAGGGATCGGCTCTGCACAGATGCTGTCATACACTGGCAGTTTTCCACTTAAAACAGTAAGGTGTGGAAAAGTGAAAATGGCTGTTAAAGAGGCAAGAACAACAAAGCAGGGAAGGGTAAGCAATTGATAAGTAGGCACTTTTGCTTAGCAAAGGAGATACGAGTGATTCTATGGCTACATTATTCTCCCAAGAGAAATACTGCTGGCCTAGTTGTCTGCCACAGTTTGAGTTATGCAGATGCTCTTTAACTTAGTGTGTGAGTTATAACCAGATAAATCCATTCATTATAAGCTGAAAATACTAGAACTCACAAATTCATTGATTACACCTAACCTACCAAACACTGTAGCTCAGCAACACAAGACACTGTATTCATTGTTCTCATTCATGATTGTGTGCTGATTACAGAGTGCTATCCAAAATTTGAAGTACAGCCTTCATGGTATGCAGCATTTTCTACTTGTAAAGTCCTAAGTGGAACCATTGTAAGTCAGAGATGTCTGTACTTCTGCCGTCTAGAGCTTTTTTTTTTTTTTGGTCTGTCGTGGGGCCTGAACTCTGGGTCTGGGCACTGTCCCTCAGCTCTTCTGCTCAAGCTAGTAGTGCTCTACCACTTGAGCCACAGCGCCACTTCCGGCTTTTTCTGCTTATGTGGTGCTGGGGAATCCTGGGCCTCATGCATGCAAGACAAGCACTCTACCACTGAGCCACCTTCCCAGCCCTAGAGCTCATTTTTACTGTCTCACTGTGGAGGAATTTGGAATTGCCACAGGAAGAAGATCTGGGGTAAAGGGGTTCTTGGTTAAATGAACAGCAAATGCAAAGGCCTTAAGGCAGTGTTCTGGGAGGAAACATTAAATGAGTTTTGCAGCAGTGGAAATCAGGTCAGTGTAGCCAGAGGACAATGGCTGGCATGAGACATCTGTAGGAGGCAGGGATGGAGCCAGAGTTGGAAATGGGTGCAGAAGGGAAACTATCTGAGGGCAGGCCACTGCTGTCTTTTAGGTGACTCCTGCCTCTCTAAGGTTCAGCTGTGATACTGTAAAGAACATTAGATTCTTCTTTCTTCTTCCCTTTCTTCCTCACTCTTTCCTTCTATTTTCTTTTTTGATACAGGATCTTGCTATATAGTCCAAGCTAGCCTCAAACTCTGCCTTCTCCTTCCTTAGCCTCCTGAGTGCCAAGATTACAGACATGTGACACCAAGTTAGACAAAAACAATAGGGGTGTGTGTGTGTGTGTGTGTGTGTGCACACGTGTGTGTGCGTATGTGTTGGTACTGGCAGTTTTCCTTTTGTATCCTGTTATTTTTTTTTTTTGGTCGGTCGTGGGACTTGAACTCTGGGCTTGGGCACTGTCCCTGCACTCTTCAGCTCAAGGCTAGCACTCTACCACTTGAGCTAGAGCACCAATTCTGGTTTTCTAGTGGTTTACTGGACTTTCCTGCCCAGGCTGGCTTTGAACCTCGATCCTCAGATCTCAGTCTCCTGAGTAGCTAGGATTATAGGCGTGAGCCACCGGCGCCCGACTCTCGTGTTCTTTCTTTTTTTTTTTATTGTGAAAATACTGTACAGAGGGGTTACAATTACATGGGCAAGATAATGAGTACAGTTCTTTTTTTTTTTTTTTTGGGTCCAGTCGTGGGCCTGAACTCTGGGCCTGGGCGCTGTCGCTCAGCTCTTCAGCTCAAGGCTAGTGCTCTACCACTTGAGCCACAGCGCCACTTCCGGCTTTTTTCTTTTTGCTTATGTGGTGCTGAGGAATCAAACCCAGGGCCTCAGGCATGCAAGGCAAGCGCTCTACCACTGAGCCACCTTCCCAGCCTGTGTTCGTGTTATTTCTGTAATTTATTTTTTGACAGTCATGGGGCTTGAACTCTGGGCCTGGGTGCTATCCCTCAGCTCTTCAGCTCAAGGCTAGTGCTCTACCACTTGAACCACCAGTACCACTTCTGGTTTTGTTTTCTCTTATTGGAGATAAGAGTCTCATGGACTTTCCTGCCCAGGCTGGTTTTGAACTGTGATCCTCAGATCTTAACCTCCTGAGTAGCTAGGATTACAGCATGAGCCACTGGAACCTGGCTTTGTACAATGTCATTTGTTCCTTCATTTTCTCCCATTCCTTCCCTCCCATCTCCACCAATGAGTAGAAATGTGCGTGAATACACCATATGTAAGGTAAAGAATACAGAATCAGAAAAAGAAAAAAACAAATTTAAAATTTAAAGTCTTTTGCTTCCATCTCTTTGGAGTTCGTTTTACTGTAGATATTATTTTATATAAATATGAAGAGAAACTTAGGCATTGCCCCTTTGTGATTCTCTCCTAATACTATCTTCTTTTGGTCTCATGTGAGCATCTAAAATCCTGTATAATTTGTTGTATCCCAGTGGGGGGTCTTAGATTTTTGCTGGTCTCTTGAGCCACAATGCCACTTTTTGTTTTTTTATGCTTAAGTGGTGCTGAGGAATCGAACCCAGGGCCTCATGCATGCAAGGCAGGCACTCTACCACTGAGCCACTTGCCCAGCCCTCACTAATTTTCTGGTGGCTCTAAACTGCAATCCTCCTATCTCTACCTCTGGAATAGCTGAAATCACATGCATGGACCACCATGCCTAATTAATTACATTTATTTATTTATGTATTATTATTTATATTATTATTTGTAGTTATTGTATATTACTTATATTTATTGTTATTTATATTATGTATTATTACTATTTATTCCCTCTCTCCTTCCTTTCCTTCTTTCCCATTCTCACTCCCTTTCTCTTTTTACTTCTCCTTCCAGGGCTGGGGTATTAGATATTAAACCTAGACATTCTACACTTGAGTCATGCCCCTAGCTCTTTTGATTTTATTTTGTTTTTGAGATGGGTTCTCACTACTTTGCCTAAGCTAGCTTCCAATTCCTCAACCAGCTGCCTCCACCTTCTGAGTAGCTGAGATTATAAGTATGCACCATAATGCCAAGACTTTTTACTTAAAAAAAATACAGCCTCATTGGGATATAAATTCTACAGTTTACAATTCCAAGTTGGCACTCTACCCCTTGGGCCATGCCTCCATTTCTGGCTTTTGGGTGGGTAATTGGCGACAAGAGTCTCACAGACTTTTCTGCATGTGCTGGCATTTTACCTCGGTCCTCAGATCGCAGACGCCTGAGTAACTAGGATCACAGGTATGAGCCATCAGTGCCTTGCTAGGGCCAAAGTTCTTAATTTCTCAGCCTCAGTTGTTTCTTCTATAAAATGAGTGCAATTATACTACTGGGTACAGGGTAGTTGAGAGAAAATTTAAAACAAAACAGCTGGGTGTCACTGCTATGGTCTTAAACCTGGGGAAGAATTCTGCCCTGAGCCCAGACGCCCTGGGTTTGAATGCCACCCGCCCTCGACACCACCCTGCCGTCTTGTCTCCATGGCAACGCCAAACACTTTTGTTTCTAAGACCTTCTCTACCCGTGGCAGTCTTACTTTCTCCCCTCTGGTTTCTCGCCTCACCTGACCGCCGCTCTCGGAGCCCTCGGGGGCTGCCGCAGGCCTCCCCACCGTCATCTTCTCAGCCTGGCAGAGCCGGGGCCGCGGCGACCGCCTCAGTGACAGCAGCGTTGGCGGCCCGACCGCGCCCGCCACGCCCCCTTTCTCCCAAAGGTCCGAGGATCGTTTTCTGGTTGGTCTAGTTCCTCCGCGGGTATCACTTCCTGTCTCAGAGACGCAGCACGGGATTGGAAGACTCTGCTCCGGAAGTACTAGTCAAGGCGGGCCTGGCGGAACGCCTGGAGCCGCGGGGTGGACTGCAGCATGGCCGCCCGGCTCGGGGTGAGGCGGTGGGGGCCATGGCCGGCGGCTGCATGCCGGAGCCCTCTGGTCTCCTGCCGGCGGTGGTCACGCGCCTCGGCAGACAATGTGTACGACGTGGTGGTGTCCGGCGGAGGCCTGGTGGGCGCTGCCATGGCCTGTGCCTTGGGTAAGGGCATCGAGAGGCCGAGTTGGGCCGGTCGTGGGAAGAACTGCTTGTTTTGTCCACAGACCCAGAGTCGTCGGCCCGGCGGTGGTCACTGCCGTCCCGGAGGCGCGGGGGCCCGGGACGAGCGGCGCTGCTCCCCGGAGTTGCAATCACTTAGGGTCAAAAGTGGGCGGGGCTTGCGAGTCCTTCTGGGGCGAAGCCTGCCCTGGGTAACTTAGTTGTGAGCACCGTGCTGAGGCGCTACACAGTGGAGCATTGGGCTAGGTGTTTCGATTGTTGTTGTTTTGTTTTTGCTTAAAAAAAACAAAAACAGCTTTATAGCCGGGAGCCGGGAGCTCACATCTGTAATTCCAGCTACTCTAGATCTAGGATCATGGTTTGAAGCCAGCCAGGGCAGGAAAGTCTGAGACTCTTGACAGCAGGTAATGAGCAAATAACCAGAAATGTAGTTGTTGCTCAAGCGTTAGTGAGCACCAGCCTTGAGGGTGGCTGGGAGGAGAATATTATCTAGCATTGAGTTAAATTCCATGTATCTTGCTTTACATTTGTTATTTAAGCCTCTCCACTGAAATATGTTACAGATATAGATTTTTTTTGTATTTATTTATTTATGCCAGTCCTAGGGCTTGAACTCTAGGCCTGGGCGCTGTCCCTCAGCTCTTCAGCGCAAGGCTAGCGCTCTACCACTAGAGCCACAGCACCACTTCTGGCTTTTTCTGCTTATGTGGTGCTGAGGAATCGAACCCAGGGCCTCATGCATGCAAGGCAAGCACTCTACCACCGAGCCACCTTCCCAGCCCCTGTTCTCTAGTATGTTTGCTTTAACTTTTCTAACATGGTACACTAAATAGCTAAAAAATAAAATTCAAACCCCAGAAAATTAAAGGAAGAATAAAATGCAAGTTCTCAGAGGAAGGAAAAAAGCAGCTGACATGTGCCCAGGGGAGAAAGTCTCAGGTCTGGTGTGAGGACCACTCGTGGGATGTGGGATCACACAGTGCGGCACTACCCTGGAATCCTGTCCAGACGGTGAGAACTAGAAGGCAGTCCCTTTGGCCCAGGTCTGTACTCCCTCCTTGCGGTAGAGCTGCTGCCCACACTGCCCACAGAGCAGCAGCGTCCTTCTCCACAGCCTCCAGTTCCAGGAGCCGCTTTGACTTTCATACTTCCTGCTGTGTGGTAATGGTGCTTCTCTCTCTTCTCATTTAGATTTGAAACCATTTTTTTTTAAGAGTAGAGGGGCTGGAGGTATGGATCAAATGGTAGAGGTCTTGTGGGAGGCCCTGAGTTCAAACCCAGAACTCCCCACCCCCTGCAAAAAAAAAAAAGGAATACCCCCTTGCAAAAAAAAAAAAAAGGAATAAAGGTTGATGAATTTTCTTTTTTCTTTGTCGGTTGTGGGGCTTGAACTCTGGGCTTGGGCCCTGTGTCCCTCAGCTGTTCAGCTTAAGGTCAGTGCTGTTCCGCTTGGGCCACAGCACCACTTCTGGTTTTCTAGTGGTTTATTGGAGATAAAAGTCTCACGGACTTTCCTGCCCAGGCTGGCTTTGAACCGAGATCCTCAGATCTCAGCCTCCTGAGTAGCTAGGATTACAGGCGTGAGCCATGGGTGCCTGCGGTTGATGTCTCTCTCTCTCTCTCTCTCTCTCTCTCTCTCTCTCTTGTAATCATGCTACAAGTTGATTGTTTAGTAATGAAGTCCAAAGTTTTTGTTTTTTGCCCATTCTGGGGCTTGAACCCAGGGCCTGGGCGTTGTCCCTGAGCCTCTTTGTGTTCAAGGCTATCGCTCTACCACTTGAGCCACAGGGCCACTTAAGGTGGTTTTTTTTGGATGGTCGTGGGCCTGAACTTTTGAGTGGTTAATTGGAGATAAGAATCTCACAGGGACTTTTCTGCCCAGTATGGCTTCCAACTGCCATCCTCAGATCTCAGCCTCCTGAGTAGCTAGGATTACAGGCATGAGCCATCAGTGCCTGAGTCCCTTCTGGCTTTTTTTTTGTTGGTCATGGGGCTTGAACTCTGGGCCTGGGCACTGTCCCTCAGCTCTTCAGCTGAAGGCAAGCGCTCTACCAATTGAGCCACAGCGCCACTTTCTGTTTTCTGATGATTAATTAGAGAGAAGGGTCTCAGGGACTTTCCTGCCCTGGCTGGCTTTGAAATGTGATCCTCAGATCTTAGCCTCCTGAGTAGTCAGGATTACAGATGTGAGCCACCAGTGCTCAGCTCTGGCTTTTTAAAATGTATGGTACATTGTTGTTACCAATACTTACCCTAATTCTTGGCTTTCCTAAAATAACAGCAAATGTTGCTTTCCCTTCCCCCCTCTCTTTTCAGGATATGATATTCACTTTCATGACAAGAAAATCCTCTTGCTAGAAGCAGGTCCAAAGAAAAAACTGGAGAAATTACCAGAAACTTACAGCAACAGGGTCAGCACTATTTCCCTTGGGTCTGCAACACTTCTGAATAGTGAGTAGATTGCTCCGCCAGGTTCAACTTCATTCTAGGGTATCCTGTAGCGCAGTCACAGAGCATCTGCGTGGGAGCTCACTACACAGGCTAGGAGTGGTAGGCATATTGAAGATGATGAGTCTGAACCTTCTTTTCTCAACATCGTGGGGACGTGGACCCATTATAGATAAACTTGCAATGTCAGGTAGGCTGAGCCTATCTGAACTAATTGTAAACATCACTCTCCACTCCAAGCCAGCCTTCAAGAAAGTTGAGGAGTTGGCATGTTAAAATGTATTTTGGGTTAAAAGTGTGTGCACACAGAATGGGTTCTAAGGTCTCTGCCAGATATTACTCCCATTCCATCAAAAGTAAACTTTTCCTTTATCTCTAGTCTCTTATATTCCTTTATTTTATTTTTTGGTTGTGGGGCTTGAACTCTGGGCCTGGGCGCTGTCCCTCAGCTCTTCAGCTCAAGGCGAGCACTCTACCACCTGAGCTACATCGCCACTTCCAATTCCTTTATTCTTTATAACACTTACTGCTACCTGACATTAGTTTGGTTTTGCCTCTCTCTAACTAGAATGTCAGCTGTAGGAAGGAGAGACTTTGCCCTTTTTTTTTTTTTTCTTTGTGTCAGTACTGAGGATTGAGCTCCAGGACTCATGTGCTTGCTTAGCTGTTTCACTCAAGGCTGGTGCTCAGAGATTGGGAGATTGTGGTTCGAGGCCAGCCAGGGCATAAAAGTCAGTGAGCTGGGTGCTGGTGGTGCCTCTTGTCTGTAATCCTAGCTGCTTAGGAGGCTAAGATCTGAGGATTGTGGTTCAGAGCCAGCCTGGGCAGGAAAGTTGGTGAGATTCTTATCACCAATTAACCACCAGAAAACCAGAAGTAGGGCTGTGGCTCAAGTGGTAGAGCTCTAGCCTTGAGTTGAAGAGTTCAAAGATAGTTCCCAGGCCCAGAGTTCAAGCCCCATGACCGGGTGGGGGAAGGGAGGGGCGGGTGTCAGTGAGACTCCAACTGAACCAATGGCTGGCCTAGGGGCACACACGTTATGGTACCTAACAGGGGAAGTACAGTGGCTGGTCGCAAGGCTATACACCTGTTATCCTCGGTGACCCAGGGAAACAAAGCATAAAGCAAGACCATGGCCCAGTCCTACTATCTCATGACTGTAATCCTAGCCACTCAGGAGGCTGAGTTCTAAGGATCATGGCTCAAAGCCTGGACAGGAACGAGACTTCATTTTCCCTGAACACCCAGAAAACAAAGTGGAGCTATGGCTTAAAGTGGTAGAGCGCTAGCCTTGAATAAAAGGAGCTCAGAGCATGTAGGCCTTGAGTTTAAGCCCCATAACTGAGCCCTTCTCCCCCAGAAAAAAAGACCTCCTGCACATTAAAAATAACCAATACAAAAAGGGACTAGAAGTGTGATTCAAGTAGTAGAGTGCCTGCCTAGCAAGTGTGACTGAATTCAATACCATGTAGCACCCAGTAGCGGAAAGTTAAAAAGTCTTTGGAGTGTTTAATGAAGTGGTGAAGAAAACAACAACATAGGTGTAATTTTCCTTTTTATTTCCCAGACTTTAACATGATGTGGCTTCTATAATCTAGACTTAGGGAACAGAGTAGCTTAGTTCCTAGCCAAACAAGAGAACACTGGAAACCATCTTAACAGGATGGAGAGATAGAGAGCCCAGGTCCCCATAGTGGTGGTGCATAGATCTTCTGTTTTGTAGGTTTTGGTGCTTGGGACCACATCTGCAACATGAGATACAGACCTTTCCGGCGAATGCAGGTGCCTCCTTTACCCTTTCACTTTTGGTGAAGTGTCTTTGTGCAAGATATGAGTCTGTTCTGTAGGTTTTCTGTGAATTGAATCAAAGTTCAAACTAGGTTCGGGGCAAGATGGAGGGGAAGGAAGCATTCTGGAATATCTCCTGCAAGAGTAGCTGACAATTTGTGATTTTCTACTCTTGGTGAAGTGATACTTTATGTTTGAAGTATGTTTCTTTTGCCTTGGTTTTAATGCAGACTTTCCTTTTGTGTTTCAAGGTGTGGGATGCCTGCTCAGAGGCCTTGATAATGTTCGATAAGGATAATTTGGATGACATGGGCTATGTAGTGGAGAACGACGTCATCATGCATGC